TACGTACTCTACTCTCTCTCTCTCTCTCTCTCTCTCTCTCTCTCTCTCTCTCTCTCTCTCTCTCTCTCTCTCTCTCTCTCTCTGTAGTTTTGGTCGGTGATATTTCAAGCTACATGTACTTTGCACCGCTCAGTGCCTGATGACCGATTGCTGTAAATTGGAGGAAATTATTTACGGCACCACCACGCCCACTTTTTTCCTGTTCATTTATCTTATGGATTGCCTGAATCCAAATTGAAGACCTAGTTTTCTGACAAGGGCATAACTTACAGAAAAGTGCTCTTATCGCGTGTGTGTCGTGTGCAGAAATGCGACCAAATAGTTAATCTCCAAGCAGATCTTTTGGCGGGGGTAAGACAGTATCATCGAAGGAAATGGTTACAGACTGGCCAATTTGATACTGTCTTACCGCCACCAAAAGATCTGCTTGGAGATTACCAAATAGTTACCCTCTACCAGGCTTCGGGAGACGGCTGGAAAGAGTAGAAGTCGGTCAAATAGAGACGATATGCCAGGGGAGTTGGTCCGCTAGAGAGTACATTTTCGGGTTTCTACTCTTTTCGGCTGCACCCTAAGCCTGACAGAGGCTAGTAGGTTTGAAACATAATTATTTAGGCATGTGGGTTGACATGTGGGTCAGCTCGGCGCCAGATTGGGTATGGCGCCATGCAGACTATATGTCGTACAGACCGGGCGTCTCGCGACCGTCCCAACTGTGTCATTGCCGCCGCGGAGGGGATTCGCGTGTCGTGCACGCAGGCAACGATCCAAAGCCGGATCATACTGACTGTGGCAAGGTTGACTATAGCCAATCGACTAGGCAAATTGTCCAGCAGCCACAGCCCCACCGAGGCTTCAAGCTAGCCTCTACCAGGCTTCGGGAGGTGGCTTAAAGAGTAGAAATTGACCGACTATTCCACCCAATTCGATCATCATTACAGGATATTATACGTATACCATGTAAATGATCTATTACACTAGTCGTGCATCTGTTTAGACCATGTACATTTGTAACAACTGCAGTGCTCTCACAGCATTATAGTTGTTCTTTCAAAACCATTCAAACTGTTGTATTTCAAAACCCTTTTATTGTTGTGTATGGGCATGTAATTAATGAAAATGAAAGTCAAGCTTCCAGATTATTACCGAAGGAAAACATTGTTTTTACTTAGTTTCTTCCTCTTCTTCTTCTCCAAACAGTGACCTCTGACCTGACCAATGACATGATTTGTTTACGTCTGTCACCATAGTGACTGGTGTTGGGTTACATAATGTTGCAATTTCATGGTCTGATCTGCTCCTGTCACCATATACTAGTAGTACATGTATGTGAATGAGTAAGAATTAACAGAGCAGACCATGTCCAAATGTAAACAGTATACATTTGCTTTGCTAATGTTACTTCTCTAGTTACAGATGTACTTTCCAGTGAAATCTGGTTACAGGGTAATACAATATACGTGCATATGAAGCATGTTGACTTAGGATTGCCCCTGTGTTGCATGTGGAAGTACAAGTACATAATCTCAAAGCAGATGTTGGGAGAGGCTAAATCCCAACTGCCTAGAGGTAGTTTGTTACTTGCAATTGTTACTTGCAGCCAGGTCACCCTAATCTCCAAGCAGATCCCTCTCGGTGGCAAAAATACAGTATCAAATTGACCAGGCAGTATCCATTAACCAGAGAAGCTCCGCGGCCACCGACGGGGGTCAGGACAAAAAAAACGGCCATATATAAAAAATGTACCGATCATTCCCCCACAACCTCTGCTTGGAGAGCAAGGTCACCCCTGGCCTCCCAAAACTTGACAAGGCTCCGTGTGCAGCACCAGAGCCTTCCGCCGGTGGAACATCTGAAAGGTCCGGTACTCTTCAGACATGTTGTGTACGTGTGCAGGAAGCATCCGAGTCGTGCACGTGCCCTCACCATAGTAGTGGTACGTTATATTTCGCCCCCTTTCATCCTTTCCAAAAGGGTAGAATCCGTACATGTGGATCTGGTCGCACTTACAGGCAGCCAGCGCGAACAGAAAGCTTCCTGATGATGCTCGTTTCGTCTTGAATCCCATCAACCTGCATAGAGGCAGATGAAAGCATGTGCCTCATATTCATATATAGTAGACAGAAATGAAGCGCTGCATTTAAATTTATAAGATTATTTCAGACAGTTACAACAATTTCTCCATCCTTTCGTCATTTAGAAGATCACCAAAAAACTGCATTTCTACTAAGATCACAAAACCCACTGCAGAATGTGAGACTATTCATTATCCACTGCCTTCAAAGAAGAAGTCGAACCCCATAATAGCTAGCGTAGTAGTAGAAGTAGAAGTTTTTTTCCAGACGGTTGTTACCTGTCTCCTGTTACTGTATTGCAATGAGTATTATACTTGATTGTAAAAGCAATTAGCCTTCGGGCATGATTTTGCGAATAAAGTTTAAATCAATTCTCGATTGAATGTCATAAAATGCTGTGTATATTTGAGAGCACACAGTGAATAATGATACTAGTATACAAACACCAACTCACGCATTCATCTTTTCAGTAGTTTCCCTTGGTTGTAATGTGAGGATCATCGGCAGGTGATTTTCGCGTATCATCCACAGAGTAAAGTACACGTCTGGACGTCCGCCCGGGGCTACAAAACCAGGGATGTGCAGAATTTGGTTGTCGATGGATCGCAATCTCTCCAGAAAGCGGTCGTACACACTTGTGTTTGTGTCAATTCCGTCGTAATCGTGTGGGAGAACAGAGGGATTCATGGTGGTGAAGTTCGACTTTGTCCCCACGTCATTCTCGAACCCCTCAATATCAGGAAGGTTACATCTGAACACGAAGTCTGCAGAGTCGATCTGAGGACCACAGCGGCTGCCCAGGAGAATCCCAGAATTCCCAACGACTGCACAGGACTTGAAGTGTTTCCCTAGGAGAGGTGACGACTCGGGAATCTGACGGTAAAACTGTTCGGTGATAGTTTGGAATTTATTTACATCGAGTGCGTAAGTGAGGCGCTGTCCAACGCTGACTCGGGACTGGTCAATGGTAAGGTCTTTGTCAGGGTTGAAGTGCTTCAAAACCCACTTTCTGTATTGAAATTTAATGAAGTGGACTTTTGAAAGAATACAAGTACAGTTCACCAAACACTGCTCAAAATGGTAAGCCAAGCAAGGGTTGCTTTTGGCATTTGATTCTTTTAGCAAAAATAGTGCATTTGAATCTATAAGACTAGGTATTTTCAGCAGTAACCAAAATACTATTATCTAAGCCAATATCTACCCCCTATCATATACAAATCACGGCGAAACCCAATAGCACCGAACTTCCCAATGTTTCACCATAGTTTGTAATAATGAAAATACGTCACCTCATAAGTTGAACTTCGGATGTATTTATGTCATACTTTTCCCAGAATTTCGGCGTTGTTGGTGAGTTAATCCTATATGATATGCGAATGATGATAGAAGAAGTTAGATAGGATGCGGCCCGACTACTTTATTCTACGGGCTTTATTCTGCTATAGTCTCCACCAGACTTCTTTTGCAGGCTGAGTAAATCGTAGAAATCGGCTTAACAAGGGTATTAATTGGCGAGAGAAGGTAGCCGGCCATCGAATTGGCCTAAATCATAGTAAATGCCCGAAGGCTGGTGGAGATACTAATTCTTCTACTCTTCAAGCTGAGGTGTATGTATGTGTGTGTTTGTGGGAATTGTGACCACATGTCATCAGACAATACATAATTGTTCCTTTCCCCTCCCAACATCATATATTAAACAGCAAGAGGGTAATGACAACTCCCTCTTACCAAGGACATCTGTGTATAATGTCCTTGCTCTTACATAACATTACCCTCTTACATAACATTACCCTCTTACATAACATGACCCTCTTGCTGAGGGTAAGCCCGAGTCAAGAGTCGCCACGGCTAATTTGTTACATGAGTTTTAAAACACTCGTGAAAACATTGATAAACTCATGACAACATTATCGTAAAATAGCCAACAAGCTTCACTCTACAACCTACATGTATATATATCCCTACAATGTACCGGTATCTGTCGCCCATTGTTACTTACAAGCCATTAAACATATATACCTGTACGTACCTGGTGGAGGTTATCGGAGCTTTGTGACGTAAAATTTGGTTCGAAGATATCTTTATGCCACTCAGAATGGACATGCTAATGGCAAAAAGTAACAGCAGTAGTCCCGATCGCATCAGCAAACGAGCCATTTTCAGGAACGGACTGTTCCAAGCAGGTCAATTGCAAGCTCTGAGCCCTACGGGACAAAGTTGCTTGTCCGGTCTAACCATGGAGTTACATAAGTTTCAGCGAAGTGTACACAGGGCTGCTACTGTAGCGACACAAAATTGACCTTTCTAAGAGTGAGGGGGGTAGGTTATAGGCGCTACCAACTGACCCGGCCAAGGTGTCTAGACCTTTTAGCCAAATCATTAGAGCGTCGGAGTCTGAAGCTGGCAAATATTGTAACTCCTATACATAGTGCTAGTTAGTCTGGTAATGACTAATCCAAAGTTGTAATCTCCAAAGCCGGATCATACTGACTGTGGCAAGGCTGACTGGGTAAATTGTCCGGGCGCCACCGCCCCAGGCTTCGGGAGGCGGCTGGGAAAGAGTATAAATTGGCCGAATATTCCACCCAATTCGGGTGCAGCAATATGTACTCTCCAAGCGGACCCTCCCCTGGCATGTTCTCTCTCTATTTGGCCAATTTCTACTCTTTCCAACCGCCTCCTGAAGCCTGGTAGAGCCTAGCTTCAAGCTATAAATCGCTCGTAGCGTCCCTGACATTCTTACTAGTCAGAGAGGGGCAACGACTCCGTCTTCAAATGAACTGCGAGAAGGTCATCTGTGGTTCGGAGTTGGTCGTCGAGGTTTCCCACTAGTCTTTACGAATTACTTAATTGTCGACACACAGAAGCAAAGTTCTACAGAAATATTTTCGGTTAGAGCCTTCATGCCACTATTGTTAGAAATGATAAATGTTTTTAAAGATAGCATCTAAAATAACCCAAGCCCAGACAGTGAGCGACGTAAAATGAGTCGTTCACACGTCATACAGACAGGTAAGCGCCGCGCCTGGCCCTGCGGCACCACACCTGTAGTGTTTTCACACGCCTCAGCTGACAACAAGGCAACAATGATTAGTTCGGTAGCGTGCGTAGTCCAGTGGTTAGCGATCCTGTCCCTGGACTAAGAGGTTGGGAGTTCGAATCCCGGCTGATGTCGCTCACCCGTCGACATGCATGCTACTGTTTAGGGTTGCAGTCCTTCGGATGGGACGTTAAGCCGTGGTCCTCTGTTCATTGCGCTTGTCGAAAAGGGCTAGGGGAATTTCCTTGGTACAATGAACCTGTAATTACTGCACATATCGTCTGTCGTTTCTGTCGCGACCAGTGGAAGATTAGCTCTTCAATGAGCTAAACTGGTTCGAGATCACTTTCTTTCTTATATTAGTGTTGGCGGTTAGGGGTGGTCACAATTTGCTTTCATGAGTCTTTCAAATGTTGCCTATAGGACAAATGACACCCTATGCAGAATATAGACAGAGCACTCAGCTATACATATATTTATAAGGGGCATTTCAAAACTGTCAAAAGCCATAGCCCCTGGTTACGACTATTCACTGAATCGAAATGGCGAGATCACGGTACTTGAAGTTACGGTTACAATGTGCCCCAGACGCAAAGCAATGTCCCAGCATCATAGATGGTTGCTTTACTTGGCACACGGGTAGTTCACTAGTAGTAAAAACTTTGCCAGGCCCACCCCAGTTTGACCTTTGTTGGCCCTAGAGCTGAGGAACTGGCCTGTGTAGTCTGACATGCGGGTCGGACGACTACGCCACGCCAGATGCTTTTTGTGTTGTTAGCAAATTTCTGGATCCACCACTGATTGAGGTCAGTTGCATAAAGCCTTCATTATAAACCTTACTACATACGGAAACCGTGTAGCAACTATATTTATACGTCGCACTGCGTAAACAAGTACTACCTGAAACCGAGAGAGCTAGAGTTGATTAAAAGGAAACATGTTAACCCCATCTACTTACCTACAAACGTACACCCTATTCTCACGGTGCAAGCCTTGTAGAAATGCACACCTGAGAAAATTTCTAACGTTAGGGCTTCCATTTACGGTCTGATTCTTTGCTGTAGACCTCGTTGATACCTGGTCCGTAGAAAATACCCACCCACACAACCACAAAGTCTTGGAACAAAAAGCCTTTAGAAGATCAGAACATGTAACCGGCAAAACATGCCGGTATCACAACACGATACCCGACCTAGTGACATGGACATGTGTAGGTAGACAGTACTTGGTGCACCAACCGTTATGCCTGGAAAGGTGGTTTGCCGAGAGTTGATCATATACGTTGGATGTCAGTGCAAAATCTTGTTCATGCCCAGGTGATTGTTTCCCAAAAGTTCATATCTACAATTTGTCCCCCAAATCCCCCTATGACCACATATCCCTAATCGCCACATTCACAATATACTTCAGTGATCAGTAATAGTAGTGACTAATCACTGTAACTGTGATACAAAAGCATTAACAGGTAGATCATCTTAAAAATCATTCATTATAAAAAAAATCGCTAGAAATATACTACAGTGATTAGTGACACTAAACTATTAACAGGTAAATCATCGTAAAAACATCCCCATGTCACTTCACACACACGCATCGTGTTTCTCGTGCTTCAATTAATACACCTGCCTCCTCACGCGCTCAGAAAGTCAAGCTAGCCACGGTAGGTCGCCGAGTTCTTGGAAAACGCACATCAAATTTAAAGCTGACAGGCAACACGTCTTTCTGACAAACGATCTCTTTCCGTAATGGGTTTGATCACACTAAATCCTTCACACAGTCAACGCGATATGTGTCTATATCAGGATCAGAATGTGAGAAAGGTGTTGGTGACTCGGATTGTGCGTGCATGTGTAGGGAATGGTAATCACAATTTCCGAAAGAGGAGGGTTATATAATCTGCATGCGGTAACTATGATTACTCTGTTCTAAAAAGAACTTCACGTCTTTCCAAGAACCAAAAGATCAACGTTGATGGAATAATTGGCGGTAAGGTGACAACTGGATACACGAAACAAAATGTCAAGAACAACGTGCGCCCTTTGCGGGCACGTGAGCGTAGTGAGATAAGTTACCTAGTCTCCACCAGACTCCTTTGCAGGCTGAATAAATAGTAGAAATTGACCTCAAAGTATGTAACTGGCCAGGGGAGTTGGTCGGCAGTAGAGGATCCGTGCGGGCAAATTGGACCTTCTATAGATCTATGGCCGGCTAACTCCCCTGTCCAGTTATATTCTTTTTTAGGCCGATTTCTACTATTTATTCAGCCTGCAAAGAAGTCTGGTGGAGACTAGGTAACTTATCTCACCATGCGCACGTGTCTGAAAAGGGCGCACGTTGTTCTTGACATTTGTATCCAGTTGACATATAACCGCCAATTATTCCATCAACGTTGATCTTTTGGTTCTTGGAAAGACGTGAAGTTCTTTTTAGAACAGAGTAACCGGAGAGATTTTAAAGTGATGGTACATGTAATGCCACAGATGCTGCTCTGCAAACGCAGATTGATTGCGAAGTTGGTGACCTTCGTCTATGTACCGTTTTCTTCTTTTTGGACAGTATCTTATATTGGATACTGTCTTATCAGTTTGGTTAGCCTCTACCAGGCCTATGCCTGGGGAACGGCTGGAAAGAGAATTTGGCCATGAAAAAGGCAGATAACATACCCATTATGTCCAAGGGTAGGCGGAAAACTCTATTCCGAAGCGGACCAACGCCCCTGATGACATGTTATATCTGTCTATTTGCAATTGGTCAATTTAACCTACCATGGCCTCGCGTAATCTACTCAAGTTTTGGGTCAATTTCTACCATTTACCATAGGGCAGAAGGGATAAGTGAACAGCTAAGTAGAACGCATGAGGCCGTGCACGTGTACTTTGACAGGATCAACCTTGTTAATTCTAGTGCCGTGCCGTTAGCCATAAAAGTCAGCAACCAGTCACTACATGTCAAGTTAAAGCTTAGCCACGGGTTTCTAGGAATCAGGGGTGATAATCAATACTACGGGTGGTGTGGATATCGTACGCTTACTACTACGTTAGAAATGGCCTTTACCAGGCTTTGAAAGCGGCTGGAAAGGTAGAAATTGGTCAAATAAAGCCCGCACCCGCCGATTTCTACTCTTTCCATCCAAAGGCTGATAGAGGCTACGTTGGATTGTTATGACACAGCATGGAACTGTGCCATAACAAAAGTGAAAGAGAATTTCTGTCACACGGTTTTTCAACTTGGGAAACGTTGTTTTATCGAACATCCATCCATCCATCCATCCATCCATCCATCCATCCATCCATCAATCCCTCCATTCATCAATCCCTCCATTAACCCCTCCCTCCATCTATCCACCCATCCATTCATCCGTCCGTCCATCCATCCATCCATCCATCCATCCATCCATCCATCCATCCATCCATCCATCCATCCATCCATCCATCCATCCATCCATCCATCCATTCCTTATCCGTACTTTCTATGACACCAAATTTACGTAATTGTCGTTCAGTACACTCGACATCCACTCTTCCACCGCTCCTGTCATTCCCAATCACATCGATTTAGTCTACACGTCTCTGTAACAGCTTAAGTGATGACCATACGCCCAGGATGAAATACAGTAGTTAGGGTCTATTATACAGGCAGTAATTAAACGTAACAGAGGCTGTACCGGGAGAGCCACTCTAGAGGGAATTGTAGAGCTCCCCTTAAGAGTAATAACATCCCCTGTTATTATTCTTAAGCATGCCTCCCGGACCCTAATGACCTCTTTTTTCCTGAAAAGATCTTATCTTTGAGTCGACACATTCATAAAAACGCGACAAATTGCTCGCAGTAAAGGCTACAGCCTTCAATTCACACATTGCGGACATAAAAATCGACGCCTGCATTGATTAAATGGCACACATAAAGAGAGAGTAACAGTGGACAGGCTACAGTCATGCTTAGTTAGACGTTATAACCAGGATGATGTAACACGTACCCTGGCTGAGTCTCGCCTCTAGCAGTGCTCCTACCGTTTCATCCCCTATAGAGGCCCCTGTAAGCCCTAGCTAAAGGGTTTTCAAAGCCCAGATAGCCCACTGTAAAGACAATAAGAGTAGAATCTATAGTTACAATCTGCTGGACGGACGTCGACAATAATTCTTACTTTAGTGTTGGGCCTTGTAGTAGCAATGGTCCCAACTGGAAAGAGAAATTCTTTATGTTTGAAATCTTTTCTGTAGTTTGTGACTTTAAGGCTTGATGAAACTAGATCCGAATTTCATATATTGATGGTAGTGGTGTAAATATAATGAATCGTAATTACAATTCTGATACCATTGGGCAGTGGTGATGCAGTACTACAGTCGAGCGATAGTGTCGCTCTTAGATGGAGCATTTTCGCGCCATGTTCGGAAGTTCTTTCTTCCGTCCGCTGTGCCGTCATTATCCTCGTACAACTCTACAAATTAGTCCATTACAGTTGCTAATTCAACAACACACTTAGTGAAACCTTTGCAAAGTCCACACGGACCTGTATAACGCTGCTGACGCCAAACGCCTACGCTTTAATATAACCGTTGAGATCTGTCGTCGCCTTCAAGGGGTTGGGTTTTGGGTTCCCATGTCGATTGGTGGCGTCACGACTTGACTGTTCTGACGTCGAGTGTTGAACGTTGTAAGCGAAATGCGGTGCACAGATGCAATATACACAGACCCGAGGGGCACACAGGCGCATATAAATGTGATCTTAGACTCTAGGCAACAGGAAATTACTGGTGTAGGCTAATAAAGGGGGGCTGCATGCCCTTTTTCGTAAGGCGTAATCAGGCCTTTTAAATTTAGTCTTCGTAATCCGTAGGCAGCCTCCGCAAAAATCAACGTAATTCGTAATAGTACATTAGCCGCAAAGCGTAAAGTCGTTATCATCTCTGGGAATTTAACGCAATTCGTAACCGGCGGCGAAAATTTTGCGTAATTCGTAATCACTACCCTCACCACCCCCCCCCCCATGCAGGCCCTCCAATAATAATGTATCGCTAAGTCCGCACCCACACTGAAAATGGCATCAACGTTATGCCCCCGCATCCAGAAGTCAAGCCAATGTACGTAACAGTATTTGCCAGGGATCAAACTAAAAGCAAGGCAATTTTTCTAAAGTGGCAGTAATGCTAAAAGTACCTTCCAAGAGATAAAGTATAAATGCTAAAGCTCAGTCTCGAAAACAAACACTTGGAGGCGAAATGCCCTTTCTTTGACTTTTGAGAACGTGGGAGAACAGGAATAAGTAGAAACTTTGTGTTCTCCACCTATGCTTAGCACTCAGCACTTGGGAAAAAGTATGGTGGACTAGCCCGCTGCTGTAGTGATTGCATACCTGTTGTGCATTCACACCTGTTGTGCACACCCGTCGAGCAATCACTACCGAACCGGAGATGATGCAGGGAAGGACCTTTAACTTTAACACACACAGTACTGGTACTCCAAACTCATAGATCTCGAGTCCAAAAATCCATCACCATACCTACACTGTCAAGCTTGATCTCTACGTCGACATTTCAGACCCGTTTCAGCCAAAGATTCGCTGGCTTGGAGTGACGTTACGTGAGCTTCACCGAAGAAGAGAAAACCTTTGACCCCGAGGACACATAGGTCACCCAGTCTCCTAACTTTCACCTAATCTCTTTATTTGATGTACTAGTGTCCTTGCACCTCACATCGTAATCCCCAAGCAGATCCTAGGGTGGCAAAAGACGGTATCAAATTGGCCAGGCAGCTGTATCCATTGGCCAGAGAGGGTCCAATACACTTTGGGTGGCCCTCTCTGACCAATGGATACTGCCTGGCCAATTTGATAGTCTTTTGCCACCCCAGGATCTGCTTGGCGATCACTCACAGCGTACCGTGTGGTTATCTTGTGTGCAAAACCGCGAGTCTCCTGAGCGAATCACGTAAAAGCGCCACCTACCGATTGTTACACCCCCAGCCCAGCCCGCCTTCCCCTGTCCTTGGTGCTGAACTCACCATCCGGTAAGTGTTACGGCGCGTGTTCACTGTGTTTCGGGCCAAATTACTCGCCGTGTGGGAGTCAATTTGTGCAGGTACACTTTTTATCCTTACGACTGTATTACCCATGTTAAAATATACTCCCAATTACACCGAAAGATGCCCTTATAGTACCTATTGCCACTAGAAACCACGAAACTACATAGGGACGTGCAATATTCAGTACGTAATCGCACGTGAGAATGTAACGTTATGTTTTTTTTTCACAGGAATATTGTTACATTGTACTATTATCATTATCATTATAACGGACCACGAAACTACACAGGGACGTATTATATTCAGTACGTACTCATTCACTACATAAATTCTTATGCGTGAGTGTATGTAGTTTCACAGGATAACTATTATATTATTAACATGATGGTCAGCACAAACCATTAACAGCAATAACATGACCGGTTCCGTTTATTTGTTCGATAGTCTGTTGACATAAACGTTAGATACTCTGTGCGTTGTAACATCACTTTGGGTTGACATCTTAACTACAACGTTAACGTTACATTCACCAGGAATACACTGTACTGTAGAGAGCTAGACAGGTGTGGAATGTATGACATGTCTATTCAAACATTGCGGAGAAAGTTGTGTCTCTTACACTGTAAGAATCTGCTATGTTCTTCAGTCTATCTTCCCAACAGTGTTGGGAATATCATACTGGTGATTCCCATGCAATCCTTCTACTTTCAGCTAAAGGTAACTTACTCTATATAGGAATTGCACATGGTCGTACAGTTTCACAGTAACATCATATAGTAACTCTAAATCACTGGGGCATGTCAGGAAAACTGTGTTTTAGCATGCAAATGTCCTAACACACTAAATGCAATACACATGATGGTCTTCTGTGGAATGTCACAAGTAAAACAAGAGATCTGGATACCTGTTGTATTCTTCTCTTGCCAGGCTTGAGCTGGATACAGTTTATAGTATCATATGTACAGGATTAAGATGAAAATAGTTCAATCTTGTTTAATATCGATATCATATTTACGAGTACTTGGATGCATCTACATGTACTGCCACTACTTAATAAGTACCTACTAGTACTGTAACAACACATGAGAATATACATTACACGTAACTGTCATTTGCAAAAATAGGTTGATGGTATGATGTTTATCATACACACTATTTACACAATACTAGTATAGTCATTACAGAACATATACATATATATTTACAGTGGGTTGAACACTCATTACTAAGTACATAGTTCTATGTATGCGGAGAATATTGCATCCTGGCAAAATCATCTTCATCGTTTGGCAAAGTTACTCATCTTTTTCTGTGTCTTTCATGTATTTTTTTTTCTTTTTACCTGTTAACATCTAATACAAATCACTGGCTTTAAAACAATGCCTGCACTGCATGTATTTGCTACAACATTGGACACTTACAAATATTGAATTCTGTTATCACATTTTTCTATGTGGGTTTTCACACTTTCACTAACCATATTATAAATCTAAACCCACAGTGAACCTTGCACCTTGTTTTGAAAGTTGGCCCTCATGTTTACATAATACACGTATATAGTACCAATCAGTAACACTGACTGACTACAGTATGGCACATGAAAAATCTTGTCAGTGGGATAGCATCACAACACACATATATATCACAGGAGTTGGTTTCAGCATTCAGTGTTAAATAAGCTTTAGTCCATCTGTGAATTCCCTATTTTAATGTTGAGAATAAACAAGTACACAGTTTGTATTTGCAACCATATCAACTAAACTCCTATATCCAGTTTTGGTGTGTTAGGACTCCAAATATAGGTATGTCAGCAAATTTGCTAGTCTTGGGTATTCATAACAATAAAGAATATGTCCTGATTTAAGTCAATCTGTGTTGTTAACTAAAAAAACACAAAAATGTATAAAATAAATCATTAAGTTTTATACTAGCTTCTGTTCACCATCATGGTTTTCCTGTTGCTAATACTAACTGCGGGTACCCCTCCTGCAGTATGGTTTGTCATACGAGTTGTCCTTCTCGTAGTCCTGTGGCCATTGTAGGGTAGTCAGCAATCAGCAAGCTGTCATCCTACTTCCTATGGTATGCTATCATTGCTCACTTCTAGTCCATGTCTTTGGCTGCTATTTACTAGGAATAATTATTGAAGTCACCTCCAATGTAATAATTCCGATAATTAGATGTCTATCTGGAAGTTGACTGAGCCATTGTGAATCTCCCCCCTGTACGGGCTGGCTGGATGGTTCTTCCCGGATATACTGCTCATCTCCCAGCTGTGTGAGAACTCCCGGTACCCGGGGTGTGGGAGTGGGTAGTGCACGCCCTGCTCGAACGGTTTGGGTTCCACGGGTGTCAGGGCTGACTGGTGTCCTGTAATGTGTGTAGAAAAAGAGTCTTGTTCATATCACTGACATTAAGGCCATGTTGATTTGATTATATGGATGACATCCGCGCGCGCATGAATTTTCGGCCGTTTAAAAAAAACAACAAAGTTTTCAACCATACTGTGTGTGCATGAATCGTACAAAACAGTTGCAAAATAAGCAAAAATATACCGTAAGTTACAAAAAAACCATACCAATGTCGTAGAATGCCAAAATCAAACGAAAAAAGACGAAATTGTAAAGAAATAAACTTGAAGACTAGACTATTCGCCAAACCATATTCTGTCCCATTTGTTCAACCCTTATGACCACGTAGATTTCATAATGAAAACAACTTTTTTTTTTTTGCAAAACTTTTTTTTTATTTGCACGCACGCATCAATTTTGGGATTCCCGGAGGATGTCATCCATATAATCAAATCAACATGGCCTAAATGTCAGGTAATGCTCAGGTCACAATTCCCAACCTGGTGCCCAGCTTGGCAGAAAAAAATGACCAGGCATTGATTTGGAAATGTGAACATAACTTTCAAAGGTATTAGGAATTTTCTGCCCAAATTGAAAGGTTTACAAGGATGGATACAGATCGCCATAAGTACATAGTACTGCAGCAAGAGTAACTGCGCTTTTATATAACAAAAGGAATACAAAAACTTGCCAAGAACATTCAGAACAGACACACAATAACATGCATATAAGTACTCAAAAGCTACAAGATAAACGCAAGCAGTTGTGTTGAGTACAAAACCCGAGTCTCCTGAGCACACCCCTGTAAAAGTGCCCCCTACTGAATGTTACACATACAGCACACTTCCCCTGTCCTTGGTGCTGAACTCACTATCAGTGCAGTACCCACTGTGTGAGAGTAATTCTGCACAGGCAGATTTTTAAACCACAATGACTGTGTATTAACCAGGTTCAAATATACTGCCACACCCCAAAACCACACCGAAAAATATTATGTACCCCATGCCACCAGAAACCACAAAACTACGCAGAGACGTGTTATATCTGGTACATACTCGCACGTGAGATTGTATCTACTTCCACTGGGTAACTATTGTCTCGGCGGCGATACACTCTTCTTAGTTTGTACTCAGCTGGAAATAGTACATGAAGGCAAGAAATACAAGTAGTGAGATACAAGGTATAGGACAGACACAAGAGAAGCTAATACAACATTGATGCAAAGATTTTAAACATAGCAGAACAGTAACAAGAGTTTAAGCTGTCACACACTGATTCATAAACATCAGACTATGCAATTGCTTCTGTTTTGAACATTGCTTAGGCTTACATACAATTCATGCCCAATAAAAGTTTTGATAAAATTTGCAACTGTATACTCAGGAATTGAGCTGATCATAATAAGTTAAAGCAAAAATAGAACTGTGTGTTTCCAGGCCAAATGAAGTCTTGCTTTAAACAAAATCTCAACAGTAAAGCTTCCAAAGTGTTGGTCTAGTTAGATATGCAGTTGATGAAAAATATGACAGAAGAGTGAGGAAATTATCAACACATCCATCAGCAAATACGTCATGCTACAGATTGTATACCTTTCTTCCCACGTTTCTGTTTTGTACCTTCAACTTCCTCAATGGTTTCTTCTAGTAAAGGTGCAAAGGGTGCAGCAAGGGAAAGATAGAGAAGAACGGATTGTGAGAGGAGTGCACTGAAAGAATGTGTATTGCACCAGTGCATCTGATAATACCAAGATAGCTTCTGTGCAGACTTTCAAGCATAGAAAGGATAATGTTACATCTCTGGTGGGTGGATACAGCACTCCTCCCCCAAAGCTAGTCTGCAAAGAATTCTTAAATTAGACTAATTAAAAGTGTGATTCCACTTTGTCCACACTACTTACCGGGAATGGCTACGTCCATGTTTCTTCTCTTGACCCCATTAGTTATGGCTAGTGGAACCTTGTGGCTGTCTAACGTGTTGTTCAGTCGTGTGGAGTTACTGCTACCAGAGGAGTCTGTCTTTATCGTGTTCTGTAAGAGAAACAACTTGTTACAAGACTTATCCTTCAATAGAAACACTACATGTACATTTGGATTGAGAAACATTAAGAGTAATTTTAGTGGCTGTTTGCGTTGGGGCTGCTAGTTTTGTGATTTGAAAGACATATTATAACACACATTTTAACATTCACACATTGTAATCATGCTCAATACATGATGAGGTGGGCTTGAATAAAGTTTCCTAACAGGAACACTTGGCTCCAGCGTTTTTCTGAGAAAAAAGGGTCAACATGCATGGTTTTCTGGAGGTCTCTCAATCCCAACTTCTTCTAAGACAGAGTAACTATGTATATGTATACATGTACATGTATGAACAGGCATGCATTGTACTCATGCTCAATACAATCTCAACCACAGCCATCTATTCTGAAGAAAAAGTGTCAGCCTTCTAAGACAGCATATTTACCCTTACCTGATGAAGTCTGTGGGACTGCCCGCTGTGATGCACGTATGTTCCCGAGCCTCTCTCCAGGTACTTCTGTCTGAGGAACTCAGGACAGCACGAACACTGGGCAAAACAGCGGATAAGTTCTCCCTGGACCTGCAGGGAACATTACGCACGGTTTCACCAAAAATTGCAGAAGGAACAACAAATTGTATATAACAAAACAAAAAGAAAGAAAGTGATCTTGATCCAGTCTTAACTAAGGCCACACCAATTTAATTTCTTGGTTAACGGATTTTTCTAGAAAAATAATGGAGCGGGCGGGCGAAAAAAAATAAAAATAAAAACAGGCCTAGGCATCGTATTATGGCCCAAAATGGTACGATAGGAGCCATGAAGGCAACACACCAGGCAGGTTCAAAATTTAAACAATGAATTTTGAACTTTTAATGATATCATTGCATTGAAGGATGGAATAACTGTAACAACTAGGATGAAAAGAACTGTTTTCAACTGTTCAGGACGAAATATGAGCATTTTGCAGTTGATTCTGGATTTTTATTTTTATTTGCAAATCAGAAAAAAAATGAAGCGGCGAATCCGTTAACCAAGAAATTAAATTGGTGTGGCCTAATGAAGAGTAGTTGTGTTCCATGCAAAACTCTGTATAAGTGCCTCTACTGACTGTTACACCCTCCGCACACCTTCCCCTGTCCTTGGTGCTGAACTCACTACTTGGTCAGTAGTATGGCGGGTGTTTTGAGCAAAACTCAAGATAGGCAACTAGCTCAGGGGCAAGCTTATACATTTGATAATGGTTCAGTCTGGGAGGAACACAAAATTAGCACAAATTAGTACATATCTATCAAACTACTGGCAGTCTTTTCTGTGCTTACCTTTTCGTTTAGTAGACAATGGAATATAAAGATGAAGAGACCCTGAAACGATACATTTATAACATGTTATGAAAAAATCCACATTCAATGGTGTATAGCTGGTGTGAAAATGAGATCTAGAGATCTAGGATACGTTCAACCTGTGTGTCATTTTATCGTGATGTTTTAGTATTACTTTTACAAATGTACTACATTATATGATACTGTTGCTGTATAATATGTTGTATACAAGGCCAGATAGTGTGCTATTCCTTAACCAAGTATCGTTATCATTATCATACATTATATTCTTTAGGAAGGGCAATATAATGTTGTACCTGTAATGAGTTAGTAACGGTGAAGACATAGGCAAACACTACAGTCCCCTTGTCGAGGTACAGAACTCCAAACACCCACGTCACACCCAGGAGACACAGTAACGTCAGGGACCCACGGATCCAAGACCTGAAAGCATCACAGGAGAAATACCAGATTTTAGACTTCTGGAAAGTATTTTATGTTTTGGTGACCTTCAAGTTCACCCCATTTCCTGTGTCTGGTCATTTGAACTCATGACCTTCTGTCAATCTTTCCCATCCACGTGCTATCAACTTTTTCTCAAGCTCAACACAGAAACATGCATGAAAGTCAAGGAGTGCAACTGAGCCAGCAAAAATTGCACATCAATTCAGTAACTTACATCAAATGTTCATTCAATCTTTGAGATTCTACCATCCACTTGATACTTGATACTAGTTTTCTAATACATGTAATGGCATAGTAATGAAATAATGCCACGGGAAGCAAATGGCTTAATCATATGTAACAAATCACGTCTAGAACTTACTTGAATTTGGTGCCTGTTTTAAAATGCTTCATTTTCTTGCCTGACTTGTGGCTGTACACTACTCTCAGCGCTATGATCAGGAATCCAAAATTTATCTGTGATGGAAAATTGAAGGAATTGTAAAGAAAATACACACAATCACCAAAAAATCATAAGCATTGCATTAATATTATGAGGAACAGTGACTATGTGACAACAGCTACAACATATAAATTGTACCAGAAATCATCAAAGGACCTGCTTTCAGTTGTTACTGTTATAATCTAGTTTTATAAGATACCATGAGTGATTGATTTTTTTAATAATCAGCTCACCATAACAATGAAAAGTGCAGGTCCTACAAAGCTCCAAAGGAAGAACTTGTGTGCATTTAGCCAGCAGCTGTAAAAAATCAGACAAGATAACATTTAAAATACTGAAGACCTCTAACTGCAATACAATAACTGCAATCACTAGTCTTATCAGGATCATTATGTGAAATTGGCTATATATAAACAGCTTCATGTCACTAGAAATCTCTACTTAGAACTGATGCAATTTTTGAGGTACATGTAACAATAATGTGCAATAAAAAAGTGTATTAACACCTAGACCTAGCGATCTCAACAATTTGAGAACACATTAAGTACATCTTAAGTAACTATAGAATTAAGAGGGGTACAGTACTATCTGTCTGTGACGTATCCATCCAACTGGTCTGAGTAGTTCAGAGCGACAGATACTCCAACCATCACTGCAGGAGCTCCTGGAAAATGTAGGAAAATGTTAAGCCCCGATCACATGTGTAGTTGATTGTCTATACTCCTTGTCTGTATGCTATGGGTATAATCCTGAAATAAAGAGATTCATTCATTCATACATACATGGAACAATGCACCTGCTAGATATGTTTTTCTGAGACATTATCACAGTCTGTATGTTGCAGATTTAAGAAGAAATGTGTGCAATACCTGGTAGTGTTACAAATACAAAGTAGTTCAAAGACAAAATATTACAAAATTGATACATTAATCACAAATACAAATAACACCTTTAAGGAAATAGTGGACTCTATCATACCGTATCCGAACAGATAGAAGTAGACCATTCTGGATCTCTGTGTCTTGAAGACCTTGATGAGTAAGATGTACAGCTGGACTCCTTCCAGACACATCCAGGTGAAGGAGGCCAGGAACAGGTAGTGGAGGATGATTGCGATAACTTCACAGGCAACCTGCCGGAAATATTGATGAAAAAATTAATTCTATACGGGAACCACAATGTAATGTTAACATATGCTTCAAATTCGTGCTGTTGCCTCACTCACTAGTAATTTTCTAAATTCCTTTGTATAGGCCTGCTACTCTCTCTTAAGTCTCTTTGCAGCCAAGGGCTGAATTGTGAGGAGCTTACGATTGGTGGGACTGAATTGCAAGGGTTTGGACAAGACTGTAAGGTTTGAACCACTCACACAAGGATGGACCCTACTCTTTTCGATAAGTATGGCAGTTTCTTTAATGTGTCTGGGTTCTTTCACATACATGTAAACTGGAAAAAACAGTACACAAGCACTGCATATGCATTGTCATGGTAACAATGTTGTTTACCCCCTTTGAGCTACCCATAGTGCCCCCCTATCTCCCAGCATGCAATGTTCTCAGACAGTATTGGCCAGTATTTACCTTATCCTCCGTTCTGTCGACTCCCGCCAAAAACAGCGCCTCAGCCAGCAGCAGACAGATGCACAGGTTGGCGTGGATAACCGTCCGCTGGCAACGGATACGTCTGAAAAAAGATGGCAGACACATGTGAGAACTAAGTAGACAGCAGTACTTGGTTTTGCATTCATGTGTTTGGCAAAATTATGTGGTTTTTAATGGTGTATGATGGGTGCATATTGACAGGTCATTCAAAAATTTCATTCAAAATTTGCTGCGGCAAGTGTTAGTGTAATCGTCAAAATATTTATTGACATTATAAAACCAGACCTAAATTTTGGGAATGCAGTTGCAATGGTTATTTATATAGCTTCGGTGATCGCAGTTTTGCTTTGACAGGTATGCATGGTGGTGTCGTTCTTGTGTATTCCTTTATTCACAACTAAGAAAACAACAACAAAACACCATCGTACAAATGCCAACCGACAGGGTTTCAACAACTGAACTGGTCACGGTTTGGTGACATTCACAACTACAACTAGAAAACTAACTCAAAATCATCATGCAGTTGACTAATCTAACATTCAGAGAGACTAAAACTGCTTATGCTGTGGTCTAATTCTACACAACAAGGGGCGCGGTGTGGACCTAAAAGGGAGGCTGGTGAACAACTGGGTTGTTAAAAGCAACTGACGGGAAACATTCAATATGGATGGCTACTGACATATCACCTTTCCTTATCTCCCTCCATCTGATAATGCCGACCCCTGGTGTGCAATATCGGCAGAAGACAGATAGATAGCATATAGTATACTCAAAGAATAAGATATTACTAGTAAGCATTGTACTTCACGAATCGGTATTTTGCAGTTCTCTTGCATGTTCAGTGGTTCTTACAGAAAGTGAATGTACAGCAGCTAGCTACAGTGCGTGTGCTAGAAGGAAAAACTAAGTCCCCTAGTACTACATTACGCCAACACAGCATAATACACAACTAGGGGACTAGTACATGGTGTCTATATACTACAGAGTGAAGGAGCACCAGCTTTTATATGCTACTGGTCAGAGGTAAAATAGACAAAAATCTATGATCCAACTCTTGGAACACTTATCCTATACTAGTTTCAGACATACTAGTACCCATTGTACCTAGATCCTAGGAAGATACAAACAGAAGACTTGTATGGACAGACTTTAAATTCTTTCCTGGCATTAGTAGAGTAATATGGTCCTATTATCATATAGTCAGCCCTCTACTAGTGTTGCTTATTCCAAGGACATTATACAGAATAATGTCCCTGCTTATTCACATTGTACCTTGATCCTAGGAAGATACAGATGGCAAACACGAGGCAGACAATGGAGATGATGCAGCCAACCCATGTGATGACACTCAGGGCAAATCTGTCTGCTTCAGTAAACTGGAAAAAAAAAAGATCATAAAAACTTTGTCAGCATTTATACAGAAATTAAGTAATGTGGCCTAAGAAAATTGTCACTGTTTAAAGATGCTACTGCACCTATATATCTAATAGGAAGAAATGGAAGATTTCACTCCCCTGTGAAGTATTTTGAAGTGTACAGTAGTGAATATTTACTTTATTCATTATTGTGGAATTTTCACTGGATCTGTGCAATATTCACTGTCACTTCATCCCAGCCTGTCAGTCTACGGTAACACCATTTCCCATCTCACTCCCTGTGACTCTACTGTACTCAAATAACTCTGGACACACAAGCATACAAGCATACACACTGGAAACGAAATCTCTGTACACAGAGATAAATATGTAAACATCAGTGACATACTGAGCCTATTTACATACCCCTTGTCCTGTGACGTCCATAAGAATAGCGAAGTTGGTGAGATGGTCGCACTCACAAATAGTGTGTGTACTGTTGCTTTCCTTTGATTTCGTACAACCCTTGCTCGACCAAAAGCCACTGCAGAGAAAACATATGTATATGGCAAGATAAGTAGTCATGTAAGGTTGTGTCTGATTAATGGAAGGTAATTTTGTCCACTGAAACTAAACAGAAGAATTTTAATGTGCTGATCATACATTACAAGCAAGAGTAGTGTTGATTGAATAGTACTTACCCGTCAGAATAGTTCCAAAACGAACAAGTCGGATTTCGGACGGACGCATTTTCGGCCTGGAAATGAATGAAAATTACAATTTAAGGAAATGAAATCAAACTTCAAAAACTGTTAATTTTCTGTGACTGTTAGAATTACCAAAGCCAAAGAGTAGTATAGAATAATCATATACATGTAGTAATATATATAAAATATATATATAAAACCAATGACACAACAAATGTCAACCCCATGAACAAGCCTGAGAAATGCAGTTGTTCTTACATCTGTGTGCTGTAAAACAATCGTCACTTTCTGGTTGTCACCGAGTTGTCCCGGTGTGCTCCCGTTCCCAAGAGATGCAGAGATGATGCGAGAGTTGACTGTCCTGTTTGCGGCGCTGGGCTTGAGGTACGTGCCAAGAGAGTCGCCGTACAGAAGGGCTACGACTTGTTGGTTTGTTGCTGGTAGAGAAACACTGTCCGTGACGTTGCCCCAGTCAGAAGACAGACCGCTCGGGAATCTTCGGGAATCTCCGGTGGCAGGTAGAACTTCCATGACTGGCAACCAGGAAAGAAATGTTAAACTCTCTTGATAGTACATCAAAACTACACAATGTTTAAGTTTAGATGATCAAAGGTTTGGGGTAACAAGTTGTTTGGTGTCATATAACCAACTGCCGCCGCGCCACGTGCCTGCAAAGCTGGTGTGTTATGCTGAGGGGAGGTTATACCGCCTATAAAGATACAGATACAGATAATTGCTTGGAACATCTTTCTTTACACTACTAGATTTGAGAATCCTTAAAATGTTTGAGAAGTACCCATACCTAAATTGTCCTGGACGGAAGAGAAGGCTTCGTCTGGAAGTGACTTGGCTACCAGGAACCCAGACCCTTCAGCACTTCCTATGACTCCTGTTGCCACCTGGGACCAGTCGTCCTGTTGGTACAGCACGGAATAAGGTAAGAACAAGGGCAGCAACCATACCAAGACCTTTACATGGGATAGCGGTCGTATTATTTCTTTGTAAAGGAGTCTGATAGACATTCAGCACCAAGGACATGTTCAGTTCTTGTATTCTGTTTTTAGTTCTGCAGGGTTCTGAACAGTAAAAGTGTGCATGTCAGTGCGTTGTGTGTGTGTTGTTATTGCAGGTGGCAATAAAGTCAAATGATGGCATTTCAGGACCAAGAACAGTCTTCTGTCCCGTTTCTTAAATTTTGTTTTGGAGATCTGCACAGTCATGTGGTGTTACTATCATGAGCAGAAAGCATGATGACATCAAGAAGTACAGCAGCTACTGCAGTATTGTTATTGATTGGCTACTAGACTTGGAGTACAGTAACTGTTGTATTTGTGTCAGATGATTGGCACTCACCTCTGGAATGTCTTCCCAGGCACTGCCGATATCACTTCTCAACAGCGTACTTCCACAAAGAGTCATCGTCTTATAGAAGGAAAATAACATGGTAAAAGAAATGGTTGAAACCATCATCATTGTGGTGGTAAGTTGCCTTTTCTTGTTATAAAAATTTTACCACAATATGGGCCTCTGAAATGGTAAACTTCCTAATGAAAACTACATGACAATGACAATGACAATGACAATGATCTTTATTGCATGTTCTTGCCCATAGGGCTAAATGCATTACAAAGATATATGTATATATGTATCTATATCTAATAGGTACTACATTCTACAACAATACTATCAGGACTGTTATCTAATACCTATTATTCTATCTATCCTACCCAGTCCGCAGAGATTCTTCTCGCTTTTTGAAACATGTGTATATGAAGTGGCAGAGTTATTCTGTAATGAGTTGATTGTTACATGACATTAAGTAGTTAAATATGGCATCTATCGCTTTATTTCTACACCATAGGTTAATATGCATTTTGTTGAAAAACAGTGCACGCTCCTCGTCATTCTACTTTCTACATTCTACTAAGAAGTGCATTTCATCTTTGATGCGTTGTTTATTACATACTGTGCACTGTCTTTCGTTTACGGGAGTCTGGTTGTACCTACCTTTTTCTATTTGTAAATTGTGATCGCTAATTCTGAATTTGGCCATAGCTCGGCGATGATTGCCATCAACAATCTTTGACGGGGTATCATCATTAGATAGCTTTAAACAATGTTTAGAGTTAAATGTTCAAAGTTAGGTGTAATATAGCCGACTATCCAGCTGCCTACAAAGCTGCTGTGTTACACTGAATGGCTACATACAGACACCCATTCCCACCTGTGTGAAGTTAGTGACTGTTCCCTTCCTCTCCTCCTGTGTCATGTTAACCAGCTGCTCCTCCTGTCACTCACTCACTCACTCACTCACTCACTCACTCACTCACTCACTCACTCACTCACTCACTCACTCACTCACTCACTCACTCACTCACTCACTCACTCATTACCTGTGTGAAGTTGGTGACTGTTCCCTTTTTCTCCTCCTGTGTCATGTTGACCAGCTGTTCCTCCTGTCTCTGCACCAGGACGTTCAGCAGGTCGATACTCTTGATGACATCACCACCGCGAACCTTCCCCTGGCCCAGGAGGTTTCCCGAGACCAAAGCCAGGATGTCTCCGGCTGGACCTCCGCCATTCAACTGGTGGGTTGAAAACAAACAAACAATTCAAGTCAGGGTTCGAAATACAAAAAAAATACAAATTATTCCTGCACCAATCAGACATCGAAAAGAATGGATCATACTATAAAAGTGTCCAAAAACCATTGACATTATTTATAGGTGGTAATGGTCAATGCAGCAAATGTAAATCAACATACCAAGAGCATAGATCAGTGCAGGTTAGGTGCGGGTAAACATCAGAAATATCTGCACAGCTCCAATTTTGCAAATATGCACCCAGTATTTGGAGCCCTGCTGTAGTACAGGCAGATTGTATAATAGAGGAAAGAATCACTGTTGAGTAACAGACTTACCAGATCGTACAGCTCGTTCACCCAAGGCGATGTGCAGTCACTTAAGTCTGGTTCTCCTGTCCATCTGGATCCGTCACACTTCCATCGAGCTGTACCTAAAATCACATCAAACAGGTGTCAATGGTGTCTGCAGTACAGTTTTATTTTGACATGGGAGTCATAGAAATTGGGCAGAGAATTTCCCGAGCAGCCATTGTAGCCACTGCTTTGCCTATTGAGTCAGTGAAGTTAAGCTTGCCTAAGTTTCTGACTTAGGGAGAAGAGTTGCTGCAGCAGTGAGCTGAGCATCAGAGATTATGATCAGGCTTACACTATATTGTATAAAAACAAAATGTGCTACTTACCCTCTGTTCCCTCTGGGCATGGCTGGGTGGACCACTCTCCCCGGGCTGTTGCAGGCCACTGGATGTCCCTCTTCTCAATCGCTGGGCACCCGGACTGAGTACTCATTGTAGCATCAGCTGGTGCTGTGTTCAGAACAAATAGATAGAGAGAATAAGAATTCTGTTTGCTTGAATTGATACATTTTACCTGTTTCCTACACCACTACATGCCGCACCACTACGTCCAGGCAACTAGAAGAAAAGAACATTTACAAACAAACCCCTAGCCTCTACCAGGCTTCAGGAGGCAGCTGGAAAGAGTAGAAATTGGCCAAATAGAGAGAAACATGCCAGGGAAGTTGGTCTACTAGAGAGTGCGCCAAACTGTAC